TCGTCGGATATTTTTATGTGTGGTATCAGTCTGTAGGTCTCATAGATACCTAGAAATCTTATTTGAAGAGTTTTTTGTTTTTGCCAAGACTTTCGATTGAATCTCAAAAAACACATTTTCTCATTCTTTGTTGTCAAATAAAAAGTTTTCCCACAAAAATTGTTTTAAATATTCCCTTGAACAACTTGCATGAATAAAACCAGACTTTACAATTATTTCGGGGAAATTTGCTAATCTGATTAGACATATCATATTTATCTGCGTGATTTCGGACCAGTTTTTCATGGTAGTCCCAAACACTGTTAGATGTTTCAACAGTATTAATTTAATTTTTCCCTGCTTTTCCAGTATTTATTTCCTTCTTGCTCAACTGAAATGATTTATGAAAGTGACTGCATTTGCACATGAAATTGGACTGTTAAAGTGCAATCATCATTTAAAACGAGGGTCCAGGATATTTGAGAGAGCTAAAAGTTTAATCTGTTCCATGCTCCCAAAACGTTTTGAAAGTGCCTCAAGTATTATTGTTTTAAGAGCTAAGCCTCTGTTGTTGAATTTTCAGTTTTTTTTAAACAGACAATTATATAATAATATATACTCGTAATAAATGAAATTTTATATAACCCAGTAAAATGTGCTTCTCCAAAATCTTCCCCATCCCCTGATGTTTGGGGAAAGCACCCTAATATGTCAACCCTGGAATCCAAATTAAATGATGTGAGGTCGTGAAGTTGAATAGCACCAGCGGAAGGAAACAAAGATATAAAAATATCGATCCAAAATATCGGGTATCCTAAGCAAAAGTATATCGATACCTCTAAATATCGGATCGTATCGAACATCCCTAAATAGGAATAGGAGACAAGATGGCGGAAAGTAAGAATTCGTCTGAAAATTCGTCTCTCAAAGCGAGTGAAAAAAAGAACTTCTTAGTGCGCGCGCGGAAGAAAACAGTTAACTTTTGAGAGAAAAGGTACAATAAAGTCGAAACGCCAAACATCCAGCAGACCCAGCGCTATCTAACGACCACGCAAAATCCAAAATGCGGTTGCAAACATCGAAATCGTAATTCCGGAAAATCATAGGGCTGAACCAGATTTGCTTTCCAGAGCTTTCGAATTGAGAGGATGTATGCACCCGGAGTGTGACGCTCCTAAACTGCTCTAGCAAATTTACACGAGATAACGATAAAAACCTAACCTGTTTTTTGATGTTTTACTGTGACGTTGACAATTTGTATTACACTGCCAAACTAACAATGAAATTTGAAATACATTTTGCCTTTATTTTCAGAAGCATTGTCATGCTATCAAATTGATGCCTGATGGTGTTTTTAGAATGATAGCACAACACGTCAGAGGTCTGCATTTTTGTTGTAAAGCTTCTTGGTAAATGGGCAGAATTCATATATTAGTGTAGACATTCAAAATTATTATTATTATACGAGTATAATAGTGTCTAGTTATAGATGAAGTCAACTACAAGCCGCTATGAACTTGCCTTCTTCTGATCTTTATTATTCAGGAACATTTCAAATGTATGTTGTGACACTGGGTCATACATTATCAGTTTTTTACCATCCTCCATTGTCTGGTGTCGGTTTTATGTGAGTTTAATGCAAAATAAGCAAAACGATGAAAAAACATAACCTAACAATCTTAGTTCATGAGGGGGCAGGAGATTTCAAAAATGAGTAGCTTAGGTGCATGACACTCTAGAGCAGTGGAACGGTATTGACAGGTGGTGGGCGACTCCGAGTAACACAAATGAGGCACAGGAAAGAGGCTCATTTAACGATATCGGTGGCATATTGCGCTCGGACAAGCCTCCTGTCATCGTCAATGCAGCGCCCATCTCTACTGGTACCGAGAAGGACGAAAACAAATGGATAGAGGTTAAAAACCTAGTCTACTTGAACATTTGAGAGGCTGTAATGTAATAATATATGCAGCCTTAAACCAGCATCCAGAGTGTCGTCTTTGTTTTTATCTGGTCTAGCGAAAGCTGGAAGAAAACAACTTTAATGAATACACCTGCGAAAAAATGAAGACCAAGAGTGAAAAGTACTGTAGCTCATTTTCCATTCACATACAGGGTGACTTTGAAGTTGAGTCATTAATTTTCAGATAATGATTGTAGAAGGAAGATAACCCAAAATATGTGTGTAAAAATAAAAAAAAATGTTACCTTGTTTTATAAAGTATCCTCCCGAGAAGTATTTCAGTGCGGACCTGTATTTGATCGTGCGGTCGTGAATCACCGGCTGGCCCTCCCCTGTGAGGTCTTAAGTCACCTGATTCACGAGCCCTTTGTACTACATTAACAAAGGCAAGAGAGGTTCGTTGCACTCGATTGAGAAACCGATTCGCACAAATCCGTGATGCCGCGGCAGCATTTTGTAAAGACTCCCCCCCCCCCGTAAATAAGAATCATGTCCACAAGTTGAGCATTTTCGTAAACATGTGCCGTGTTTTATTTCGTTTGAGCCACGCAACAAACACCACTATTCACTCACGCGTTACCGAATGACGAAAAACATCGTGATAAACATTTCAAATTCTTTCGCTTTTTTGTTTCCGATGCGATGAACCGATATATCCGTTGTTGCCAAACACGAGCACACAATATTATTATTGAGACAGGGCGGTACTCAAACTTCTAAAGGGCTATAACTTTGTTACTTTAATTTTACCAGAAAAATGTTAAAGGAAAAAACATTTCTTTTGATCAGATCTACTCACTGTTAAAATAAATGACTCAACTTCGAAGTCACCCTGTACATCCTACGTCATTCTGGCTTGGGGGCATTCTTCTGGGGTCCATAGACTGTACGCTTTGCAAAGTAGACCAGTTAGGGTTGTGAGGCGTTTGCGCTACAGGGACGATTGCAGCGATGCATCTCTCACGCTGGGCCTTGTTTATATATTTTTGAAAATGTACTGTAAAAGAAACTTTGTTACTCATAAGAACGTCCATGAGCACAATACACAATACTGGGCATAAGAACAATCTAGTACGTCTTTATTGGCGACTGAGAAGGTGTCAAGATAGACCTGGTTATTGGGTGGCAAATTTTTGTTGTTGTTCTTCCAGACGCCTTAAACTGCTTCTTTTTAAAGATTTAAAAGGTCAAGTCAAGAAAATTCTTACCAATATCTCATTTTATACGTTTGAAGAGTTTTAAGTCATAAGTTTTAACTATACGCTGTAATATGTTATGTTAACGATTTGGATATTTTAAACTTAATTTTAACTTGTTTTATAATTTTGTAATCGTTATATCTGCATGAGTGCTGGTGTACTTATGTTTGTTCTTATTCTATATATATGTGTTACCGGACAAACCCGATTTTAGGATAAACTAGTTTTCCCTAGGCCAAATCAGTGTATCCGAAGAGCGATAGGATAAACTAGTTTATCCTAGTCTAAACTGATTTGTCTTAAAAACATTTAAGTGTGATTAGAGAATAATGATTTGTCCTAGTCTACATACAGTCTCTTCTCAAAAGTAACGGTTTTACAACTAATTGAACAAAATACTATTATTACGAACATGTTTAATAACTTTTATCATTTATTTGTTATTGCATGTCAAACTATTGTGACATTTCGAGTTACAGAGAACGTTATTTTTCTTGTAAAGGCATCGATTTGACGTACACTTCTTGGTGCAACTGCACAAAGAAAACGAATGCTCCATGTTTTTGTTCACTTCTTTTTCCACTAAAAACTTTTGTGCGCAGATTTCAAATTTATTTCTGAACTCATCAGCGGTGAGATAATGCTTTATATTATTTGTATTTTCTTCATTTCGTGCGGTGAGTTTCTTTACACCTCCGATTTCCACCAAATCTTTTCAGTCTTCAGCCTATTCCACTTGTTACAAACGTGCCAAATACGTTTCCTTTGTCAAAACATTGAAATCGGTTGATTTTTCATCATCAGATCTTAAACCTCTTTCAAGAATCTCTGCCTCCATTCTGTGTCCACTTGATTAGACCTCATCCATGATAACGAGATACAGAAATACGAGTACACTTCGAACATTAGATCAATAAACAACACGAAATTTTTCAAAATATCTAGGTTATGAATAACACCCAGAATACCCAACGTACGCGTGCAAACTAAACGAGGCAAAGCCACGCAGCTACCTTTTAACGAGCTCAGACTAGTTAAATCTCGGTCCGAAGCAGTTTAGACTAGGACAAATCAGTTTTCCCTAACCATAATGAATTTATATATTTCAGGATAAACTAGTTCATCCTATCGCTCTTAGGATAAACTGAATTAGCCTAGGAAAAACTAGTTTATCTTAAAATCGTATTTGTGCGGTAATATATGTATATATATGAAAATAATGGACAACATCCGCAAAAATAATAATTCTGTCACTATTATACATAATAAAAGCCCGAACTGTGGTAAATCCTAAGATTTTCCGGTAAAACCTAAGATTTACTAACTCTTAATGGTAAAAGTCCGAACAGTTCTTTTATATCTTAGGATGTACCTCAAGGGCACGGTAAATATTGAAAAAGACATTTTTCATATCATATCAGTTTTGGGAAAATTGGGTAATTCTTAATCATTTATTTAAATTACATATGTATTTATGAACCTTACATATGTATTTATGAACCTTACATATGTATTTATGTATCATATCTTCTCACAAACATCTCTCAACTCTTACGTTGGCTAATTGAATCTCACTGAATCAGTATTTTCCTTATAATTTGATATTTACGAACAAATTGAAAAAAAGACAATCGTCATTAATTATTAGGTACTTAGTAAGAAAAATATTATTTGTTACCACACGGAGTGCTATTGTGGCATTTAGAATTACAAAGCAATACTGATAACTTGCAAGCGCATTTCTTCGACAAGCATTTTTTGAGACAGTTACATTTTTTGAATCCTTGTCCTCCAGTCAACGACAATTTTCCAACAACCTCTCGAAGACCCACTTCTTTCTCTTTAACAACTTCTTCTATCTAAATAAAATCTTCGGAGCCTGAGGTAAACTGATTCTGTTTGTAAAGCTGCTTTAGTACTCCAATATTGGTACGTAGTTGGTAAAACTCATTGTCCTTTACATCTATCACAACTGCAATAATGCTTTTCGGGTCAGTTTTAGCTCTGGCAATGTCAGGTACTTTCAGTCTCACATTTTGGCCAACTTTCACATTTGGATGTTTATCAGACGACTTTGCTTTCATTTTTTCAGCTTGGGCTTCCAAATTCAATTTTGCTTTTGTTCTTATTCTCTGGGTAGATCTTCTTCGGTATTGGATCTTCTTCAGATTGAGTTTCATTTTCTTTCTCTGAATTGGTCTCTGAACCGAATCTCTGAATCGTTACGTTGGCATCAATGGTTATTTGATTTTCCTTTTCGATTACAATCATTTCGTTTTCTTGTGTTTTGTTCCTCGCATTTTCACTGTTTATGTTCCCTTCTGACCGATTTTCAACAACGTTGATTCCTTGTCCTGTTCAATTATAATATTTTCGTCGTTAATATTTTGTTCCGTATTTTCTTGCGAATGCAACAAATTCTCTAAATCTTCTTCAGATCTTAAGAGTCCAATCATATCTTTCGGAATTGCTGACGACGCAATGCCCACTTTCATTGGACTACCAAACATTGCTTCATAGCGCGAGCATTTAATTCCCTCATGATATGCTCTATTTTTCATGGCCTGGATGAATCTCAAGCCCTCTGACCACTTTGACAACTGATTGGTTTCCATCCACGTACTGAGCATATTTTCGATGTCTTGATTGGCACGCTCTACTGATCCTTGACTCTGGCTATGTATTGGTTTTCCGTGTACAATTTTAACATCTGGCCACATAGAGCATACATTTTCAATTACATGATTACAAAACTCCCGGCCATTATCGGAATGAAGGATATTAGGCGCTCCAAAAGTGGTGAAATTATCCAAGAGAGGATATGCAACTTCTGCTGCGCGTTTAGTTTGAAGTGTACGAAGGATCACAAATTTAGTAAGATGGTCTTGATAAACTAATATGAATTTATAATTTCCGTCAGGGTTGGTTTGTAGGTCTATGAGATCTACTTGACAACGTGGGTTCATTTTACTATGAAGTATAGACTTGATGACAATGCCCTTCTTCAAAGTCTTCTGTTTCTTTTGACAAGGTGGGCATAGCTTCAAATACGTCATGATAGCCTCAACTGTAATGTTTTTATACTTGCGGCTACATTCCTTAAGCATCCTTGTCCTTCCACCGCACCGTGTCCAACAGCAAGATGCGTTTCTTCGAGAATATTGCATATGTCGTCATAACAAACGTAAAACTTGATTTCTCCATTCTCTTCCTTTATCGGCGCAATTAGCTTTTCTTCACCGCCTATAGCCAAAATATAATAGCGATTCATACGCCTGTAATGCGCAGCTTTCTTCTTTTTCACGTTCTTTGCAGTTTTTGCTTCCTCTAAACACTTGGCGTATTTATCCCTATCGAGATAAAAGTTATTGTCCTTTTTGCTTGCCACGATCTTGTCCATTATTTCATAAAATCTATGTTTTGCACTCATTTTGATTCATAAATTACATTTAGATATCGAAAACACAAACAGAAATTAAATTAACGAGCGCGTTCAAACGTGTCAAACGATCGGCTGAGGCGAGCGAGCGGTGGCGCGTAGGCGGTACGGGTAGCGGGGAGTTACGGACTGCCCACGAGTACGAGACGATGCGCCGAATATGTTATGACAGGTCTTTATCAACTTTTAGACGGGGAAGCCCTTATGGATCAATTTGTAGAGAAGGCTCTTGTGCCACACCTTGTCAAATTTGAGACATCCAGAAGCAAGATGCCAGTACTTTCGTTACGGGTGAATCCCCTGGTTACTCGTTCAACAAGCCTTATGGCCTGTAGCTCCTTACTATACTCAGACCGAAAGCCAAATTGCACGTCAGGAATCACATTGTGGCCTGCCGAGAAATTTTCAAGGTGACGTAGAATCACCTTTTCAGCGAGCTTAGAAGGAGCAGACAGTAGACTAATGGGGCAGTAATCCTGGGGGAATAACTAACCCACCTTCTTTGGAATCATTATGACATCAGCGGTCTTCCACGCCGTTGGGAAGTGCTGGGTCCTTAGCATGGCATTGATTATTGCCATGAGATAAGTTAAGGACTTCCGCGAAAGTAGCTTCAGCGCCTTATTAGTGATTCGATCCTCTCCAGGTGCTTTACGCACCTTGAGGTCTTTAATATAACCTTGGAGCTCTGTGTGCAATGCGGAGTCTCAGGAGATTCCGCTGATGTGCCATGCAGCTCTTCAGTTGAGGAATCTTCTGAAGATTCCTTTGAGGAAAAATCACTAAGAGAGGCACTACTGCCACTCACGCCGTTGGCCCGAGAATATCTCCTGATGGATCTTACAATATGCTGCTCCTCGTCGAGGTCATTATCAAGGTCATAGTTTAGAGAGAACTGACTTTCCATTGCATCAGCGAAAACCTCGACCTTTTCCTCTGTCCTACAGACTATGCCCCTAGGACCGTGGATGTGCGGGAGTTGTTCTCACTTTCCGTTTCTGAGCGACTTTGCAACTTTCCAGAGAAGAATACTTGAGTCAAGCATCCTCGCAGAAAGTCGCTCCATTGCTCATTACGGAATTCATGAAGAGCATTTCTCACTTCATGAACAAGATTCGTTGCTCTGTGAATGTCATCTGGGTGATCTATGTATAGTTTGCTGAAACAAAATTTATATTAGGCTAAAACCAATTGTAAGTTTACTGAAACAAGAAATTACGATCAGATATATTGCCTCAAGTGGACCCAATCAACTCTTGAAACCTGTCGATAAAATTTAATTAGTCATTCGGGTCGCCGATTCTGTCACCTGACAGATGCTACAAGCCGCATGATTTGGCCTCACAGTTTTGCAGTTGAAGTCTTGTTGGAACAGTTGTCTGTTCTCAACTCTTACACGTTGGCACTAGGATGTACCGTCTGGTGGGACAAAATCTAGCTAACTTCGTTAAACTTGCTCTAATGATTTTAATTTTTCTTAACTTTTGAAATAACGAGTTGAATCACAAGGGCTGAACTTTTTTCGAACCGCGATATCTAATTTATCCTGATCGTTCGCATAGTTGTTTATTTTTATTCTTATTCTTAAATCTAGTCTAAAAGAAGAAACAAATCTATGACGCAGGATTTTGTTTTTAAACCCATCTTATTTGTTGACTGGGGTCTCTGCTAAGTACTATTATGTCATTTTTAATGCGCCTTTGACGTCAGATGTGCTTATGAGCATTACTCTAGTTTTCGAGAATTATACTACTTCGAAGTTGAGTCATTTATTTTAACAGTGAGTAGATCTGATCAAAATAAATGTTTTTTTCCTTTAACATTTTTCTGGTAAAATTAAAGTAACAAAGTTATAGCCCCTTAGAAGTTTGAGTACCGCCCTGTCTCAATAATAATATTATGTGCTCGTGTTTGGCAACAACGGATATAATCCGCATTATCGGTTCATCGCATCGGAAACAAAAAAGCGAAAGAATTTGAAACGTTTATCACGATGTTGTTCGTCAGTCGGTAACGCGTGAGTGAATAGTGGTGTTTGTTGCGTGGCTCAAACGAAATAAAAAATGGCACATGTTTACGAAAATGCTGAACTTGTGGACATCACGGATTTGTGCGAATCGGTTTCCCAATCGAGTGCAACCAACCCCTCGTGCCTTTGTTAATATAGTACAAAGGGCTCGTGAATCAGGAGACTTAAGACCTTACAGGGGAGGGCCTGCCGGTGCTCCAAGACCGCACGATCAAATACAGGTCCGCACGGAAATACTTGTCGGGAGGATACTTTATAAAACAAGGTAACATTTTTTTTAATGTTTTTTATTTTTACACACATTTTGGTTTATCTTCCTTCTACAATCATTATCTGAAAATTAATGACTCAACTTCAAAGTCACCCTGTATAAGTCGCCACCCTACGTATGTACATATCTACACTTGTATACTTCTTAACTAATTCTGCGTAGATCACTGATTCTTGCATACAAGGCAAATCTCTGTACACTTGACCTTGACTACAACAGGAAGTCAGTACCTGGCGAACCGCAATTAGCAGCGCCCTTTCGAGAAGTACCTGTATTATTATAGAGCTTACGCGTGCCCAGGCACGTAGCCTTATTTGCCGCAAGCTCAATGATGGGTTCAGCTGACCACTTTCCCTTTCCTTGAAAGGATGCAATAAATCACAGGTACCCAACTTTTGACAGACTTATATAACGGTAATGTGTGGTACATGTTCTACGAGGGTGCTTCAAATATGATCGAGACAAATGGTCTGACACGTTTATTTACTATCGAAAAAAATTACAAAAATTTACAGCTTTTTTAGGCACATTCCCTCACTAGTTACGCATTTTTTCCACCTTATCGGAAGCTTTTTTATGTTGGTATTGAACAATTCCTTGGGCAACTCGGACAGTCATGTGCGCACGAACTCTTCTACCTCGTCGTCGGTGTTGAATCTTTGACCTCCGAGGGCTTCTGTCAGTGATCCAAACATGTAGTAGTCGCAGGGTAATAAATCCGGACTGTAGGGAGGTGTTCCAGTACCACCCACCCCAATTTCGATATTGTATCAAGCGTGAGACGCTCAGCATGTGGGCGCGCATTCTCCTGGAGAAGAATCGCACGTCTTGCTGGAATGCTTCTCCATTTCGAGCGATAAGCAGGTTTCACCTGTGTTTTTAGAAGGTTAGAGTAGTATGCAGCATTGATGGAACGTTGGTTGCTCAGGAAGTCGACATACAGCACGGCGAATGCTGTCTGGTGTGATGCTGGTTCGCGGGCGACGATCATGCGGCTCATTTTCGACGGTTTCGCGGCCATCCTTGAATGCTATGGCCCATTTAAACACAGCAGCTCTACTCAGGCACTCACTACAGAACTGATTTCGCAAACGCAGAAAAATATCCGTGTTTTTAACGCCTTCCCACACTAAAAAACGAATGACAATACGTTGCGCAACGGCGGTCGGCACTTGACCTTCACTCATGGTCGTTAGCACGCGCGTTTAACATGCGCTTATAACGAAAGCTCTGCCACACTGTTCCTAAGGGATGCAGCTATCATATTCTCAAGCCACGACCTTCAAGATATACATGCGCGCCATCTACAGCATTTGTCTCCATCATATCTGAACCGCTTTCGTACTTCAAGCTTAGCGAACGTGGCAATTATCGGCTATTCTAATGTCTCGAGATTTTTCCTATGTCGCCGAACTTATCCCTTGGTAGTTTACAAAACATG